TCGCGGTCACCACCAGCTCATAGTTGGCCACGCTCTCGCGGTCCAAGGCGCTGTCTAGCACCAGCGAATAGTAATTCTTGAAGGTAGACACCAGTTTGAAAGGAACATCGGGCGTCAGAAAGCAGGTCACCCGCCCGTTGGCATCTGAGTCAAGATCGGACACGCTAAGTAGGGCTATAACAGTACCAAATTGAGCGTCTTCTCGGACTGGCAAGGATAAGGATGTCAATGCAATCTGAGGGACGTTATCGTTTTCATCCAAAATTTTCACTAAAACAGTGCAATGACCAGCCAAGGGAGGGTGGCCTTTGTCCGTCGCGTCAATACGGATTTTGTATAAATTCACCTTTTCAAAATCTATATTCCCTTTAATTACTATTTCTCCAGTTTGGGGATCTATTCTAAATTGGTCACTAACAATGGGTGGAACAAGACTATTAAAAGAGTATGACACCTCCCCATTTACTCCTTCATCCCTATCAGAAGCATTTAGTCTAATAACTATTGTTCCGTTATCTGAGTTTTCAAATATTTTTACTTCATATTCAGACTGTCCAAAACTGGGAGCATTGTCATTTACATCCAGTACGATGACTAGCAGCTGAACAGTGCCAGTGAGCTCAGGTTTGCCTTCGTCAGCGGCCATGAGTAATAAATTATGTTCGGGAGCTTTCTCTCTGTCCAAGGATTTCCTTAACACGAGCCCTATTTGTGTACTGTCATCACTGTTTGTTTTCACATCTAAAGCGAAGTATTCGTTGGAACTGAGTTTGTAGGTTAAGATAGAATTTGAGCCAACATCTGCATCCGTCGCGCCCTCTAGTGGAAACAAAGAATCTGGCAGCCTAGATTCGTAAATCGATATTCTTTGTTCCTTTACAGGGAACACAGGCGGGTTGTCGTTAATGTCCTTCACCTCCACCTCCACGTGGAACACCTGCAGCGGCCTGTCCACGATCACCTCCAGGTGGATACTACATTCCGCGCTCCACCCGCACAGCTCCTCCCGGTCGATCCGAGAATTCACAAACAAAATGCCATTCTGCAGATTTACCTCCAGAAGATCCCCGCGCCCTTTGGACGCCACCCGGAACAGGCGCGGCACCAGCTCCGCCAGCTCCAGCCCCAGGTCCTGCGCGATGCGGCCCACGAAAGTGCCGTGTTTGACCTCCTCTGGGACCGAGTAGTGGATCTGGCCGCTGCCGGCCTCCCAGGCTGGAAGGAGCAGAACCAAGAGCAGCAGACACCGGGATCCCAGTCGGTCTTCAGGGGTAATAACCATTTCAAACACTTGTTGGCTTATTTCCGTCAGAAGATCTTGTCTCGGCATTAAAATGAATCCCGAGTCTGTTAATCCAATTCATCTGCGCCCGCCATCATCCCACACTCATGGAAGAATGCAGTAATGGGAGGAAGGGACTTGAATAAAGAGCTAATGTAACTTCACGGTAGACAGCGACATCATGCGGCTCCAAAGGGTAAGTAAGAAATGAATTCACAAGTGTGTTATGCTATCGTTTTTTAAAATTAAAATATAGATAGATAGATTTACATATAATATAAAATATATATATAAATATATATATATTTTGCTTTGCCTAAATAGTAAACCTTATGTTTGTAATTTTCAGTTTCATCTCGTCTCTCTTCTTTAACTAGAGTAGGGTAAGGGATCAAAATACTCATAGTGAAATAACTTTCCTCTCACAAATGTAATTACTGTTATCAACCAGTTTAGAAAGTTTAAATGTGATCTGAACCAGGCTTGGGAATTAGAAATGCAAACTATCCGACAAATTTTGTGTCGAGGAGAAACGTGTACATGTATTTCTGTCACAGGATATGTTATCATATTTTGCTCTGATAAAAGTGTAATTTTAAATTAACAAATTTTTCCAAATGTTAAAAACCTTTTAGAATCAAAGTCTATTCTTTCTTTGTTCAATGAACATCAACTACTCCTAATGATGTTTCTTTTATTTAACAATGAAAGATGAAAATTTTAGTGCATATTCTTTACAACATTTCTTAATTTCTCTGCCGATTATATTAGGTCTCCCCCTCAAGACATTTTCCTTTGCATACTTCTCCATCACTGCAAAATCTGGTTGAATTTCTACCCATTGTTCTTTGTTGCTCTGATCCTTCAGCTGCTCTTAAATGAACTTATACTTTTCTCTGTATCTCAATATCTTATATGCTTTCCTTTAAGTGTTCTCATCCACTTCCAACATTACAAATAAGACTTTTATTGAAGGTATGCCCAAACCTACATCTTCCTCCCCATTTCTTATGGTTTTGTCATTTTTTACCCATACATGCCGATGAGTTCTAGAAAATGATTTTATTACAGTTTGAAGATTATGAAGAGAAATCATTACTATCCCCCAAATTCAAACCCTTGAAATTTATCTTTTATTTAATGGCATGAACATTCTACATGTCCCCTATATGGATTTTTTATGAGTCCATCTCCTTTACCTGCCCTATTCAATTTTTTGAATTTGCCTTTTTACATACCACCATGTTTATCTTAATGGGTATAGCTTTTACTAAATTGCACTACACATAGAAATTCCAAGATGTTAGAATCATTTCTGTGACTTGAGATGTGACGACAAGTCCATATTTCCAGTGTTACTTTCAACTATGCTCTGCTATTAATTCTATTTTGCAGACATATAGATCACTTGCTTCCTTTCCTCCTCAGTACAACCTTTGTTCAAGTTTTTAAAAATTACCTCCATCTTTAACTGTAAAAATGCCACCATCATATCAAAGTCATGCCAAAGTGTCAGTTTTACCCTCAATTCATCCATAATGTCGTCACCTGTAGATAATTGAACTCTTTCTCAAAAGGAGACAACAAAAGTCACAAAAAAGACTTTTCAAATGGGCACATGCCAACACTCACCCTTCTCCAGAATTCTGACATACTTGTAAAACTCTCACAGACAACTGTAATACAAAGAACCCCCCAATATGAGAAGGCTCTACCTTAAAATAACTAACCTAGTTCTACATAGTACTCCTTATTCTTGGCTTACTATTACACTTACTTTGAGTAAATGAAGGGTTCATTTGCTAACCCATTATAAGCCCCCAAATAAAAGTTTCCTTTGCTTACAGGAAGATAAGCCTTGACAAAATATATATTGGCTTGGTTTTATTGTTGAAGGTTTTCTATAGTGCTTAGGGTCTTTCATAAAATTTGCCCTAAGTGAAGAGTCTCTTTGAATATCAACTTTTAAATTAGTTAATTAAAGCATCAAATCTGTATTTCTATTGCAGTTCCTAGCAATTTTCAGAAGATTGATAATATTGTCCAATAAATTGGAAGAGCTTCAATAATTCTGTTTATTGGCTCCAGGTAGAAAATTATACAATGTTACTAAAATCATTATGTAAAATAAACTAACTTGGAAAAGGAAAATATTGGATCTCCTCATGAGAAACATATTTTTGTTCATTTATTTAGTTACATAGTTCATCTAGTCAAGGGAGAAGATTATGTAGAGAAAAAAACGTTTAGTCAGTTTATGAACAGCTTCCTCCTTCAGCAAAGAAAATTTTCAGTTATAAATCAAAGTTTGTATTTCAAAGCTGAATTAATTTGATTTTTTTTAAATCTTAATTTTTTAAATGCTGACATCTGTTAACTACAAATTCACAGTGGTGAGAATGCCCTCTTAAGTTCTAGGACTTCCCCCAAAGTAATAAAGTATTAGAAATATTTGAGTAGTATGATACAAGTGTACTTGTAAAATTAAATACATGTGAGAATGAAATAAATAGGTAAATCAATAAAAGGGGGGAACTGATATTTTATCATATGAAATGTGGAATATTTATTACTCGCTAAACCCATATCGTTTCTAGAAGAAGTGTAGAAAAACAGTTCTCAGCATTTGAGATGCAGAGCATTCTTGCCTATGGTAGATTCAAATGTACAGCTTTGTTATAAAAAAATTGCATGGGTAAACAATAAACTCAAGAGCGGAGTTTGTATCAATGTAGTTAAAAAATTAAAACAAAAAAGCAAAAAAAAATACAAAAGTTTTCTAACAAAAACAAGAGTTTTCCCAACTATGGGAATTCACAATTATTTCTCATCAATATATTAATTTGTGAATGGGAAAAGAAAAAAGTAAGATAGAGAAGAATAAATCATGTTTCCACTAAATGTTGATGTTAAGGTGGGGAATTATGATATATCTGCAAAATGGGACAAGAGAGACTGAGTAAAAGAACAAAAAATCTCCTTAAGTAATATGTCAAGAGAGACAAATTATGTTAAATGAAGGAAAAAAGGAAAATCAATATGAATATTAACATTTTCAAATGGGAGATGGGAGTTCTTTTGTGTATTAAAAATTCTCTAGAAGAATAACCAAGAAATTGGAACATTTGAAATATTCAAGCAGGTATAATAAGTGGCTTGATATTGGAGATGGAAGGGAAACATTTAAACAATTTTAAATCGTGTAAATGTATTTTGCATTCAAAAAATGAAAAAATGAAGCCACTAGAGCTACAATTTTTAAATTACAAATATCAAAGTTACCATGAGTATGCCAAGGCCAACTGTTCAAACAAACTTGAATCATTCAATGCTGAAAATACTACAAAAAAAATTAACTTAACTGATGTAACAAAAATACTCAAATAATTGATAGTCTTTGGAGAACAAAAAAGGCAAACTGACACGATGTTGTTAAAAGATTTCTATACAGTAACAATATGGGACTTTGACAATAAACGATAGAGGCAAAAAAAGGTATCAAAAAAGTATCTGTAACACATCCTAAAATTTGAAAATTAAAATGTTCACTAAAAATTTCTTTCTGGAAATGCTTTCTATAGTGCACAGAAAACTAGTCCATTAACTCAAATCTTTAAAACCTTATAAAAGGGGGATTGTTACTGAAACAAACACCACAATGCAAAGCGATTATCGCCAATACGCTAAGTAAATTTTAAGGATCGTTGCAAATGTAAGTAAAGGAACTAGTACCAAGAGAATTTATATCTAAAAGGATACTATAATTAACTATAAAACCATAATTTAAAATGAAAGAAGAAGAGAGGAAAATGTTAAACATCTAATATTAAAGGCCTGACAAAAATTGCTGTAAAATTTTTGAGACTCACGGTATCTGTAGAGATGGGGCCCTGAGGCTGGCTGGGACTGAAGGCCATGAGGTCCGTCTTGAGCGGT